AAAAAAAAAAAAGCTTACAAATAAATTATTTATTTCAATTGATTAAAATCACTGGCGAGTCATGAGATAAAGTATATAATTACCAACCTTGGTCCTCTTCTTTGAGTTTCTCAACTAACTTCATGATATGAGCCGCATGTCCCATTTTCATTCGCCAATCAGCTTCCTTAATTAGATAAAACATGTTTAAAGCAAGAAAACAATGGTAAAATCTATTTTTCAATTATTATCAATACTTGGAACAAAAATTCTAATCATTTCTAGTATTCTATTTACAGGAAGAAACTCATAAACCAAATAGTATGATCGATCAGATGGATCACATGGATCAGTGGATCACATGAAAAATTCGAGGTTAACCGTTAACGAAAAAAAAATTTATTAGGGAATAATCTTGTATAGTCGCATTAAGTGGCGTACTCCCTCAAAGATATGTCATATATTTAACCGCTGTTCTAACATTCTTTGCTATGAAAAATTATTAATAAAGTTTCACTACATGAACTTTATTTTTTAATGTGTGATCCCAAAGTTAGGCTTATACCAAAATAAGACGATTTTGAAAAAAAACTTTCCCAGACACCAAAAAAGTCATCAGCACAGGCAAATATGCGAGGGGGTTTATAAATTGATAATATTCATGTACCCCGAGCACGTACAAAAATCATTTAATTTATTATATATATATATATATCCGAATTTTTTTCTCTTTTAAATTTTTTTTTCTTTTAATCCATGCATTCTTTTTTATATCACATTTTGCAAGAAATATTTTCAGATCGTCATTCAGAAATTTATTCAAAAATAAAAACGTATCTCCTCCCTTCTAAAATAAATATTACTTATATATGCCGTCCAAATTCAAAATTGCCAATTCCAAATCCCAAATCACAAATCCCAAATTATATTTAATTTGCCAACATTTTGAAATCTTAATATTGAGAGACGAAATTGAAGATTGGAAGAAAGCAGTCTGATTTTGGTAAAACCGTCATGATAACTTCCTGAAATAAGTTGAAGCGATTTCGACTGACATGGAACGTTTAGCTGAAAATGATATCATTAATAAGGAACTCAGAAATATTAATGATATAGTGCTAATAGAAATGGGTTAAAACGCAAATAATGAAGAATTTTGTAAGAAAAAATACATTCTACTTGCTTTTTAAATTTTCTTTAAGCTTTATTATAAACGCTAAAACTGTACAACTGTGTCCATTACCAGTGTTGAGAAGTTTGTCCAGAACTTGCCTAAAACTTTATCAAATCCTTAAAAATTCTGTCCAAACCCAACACTGCCCATTACTAAAAGTAAGACTATTGCCTCATTTTAATGTAGATCTTAAAGCTTAATCGGACGAGGTTAATGGGATTGTTAAAGGCTGATGGTGTAAATAAATTAAGAGATAATTTTATATTGATTTTTGGTTAAAAATATAATCCAATCTCTGGATTTAATGACGTGAAATCGGTACAATTTTTTTTTCAATTAGTTTTTTTTCTTGTTTTTTTATAAAAAAAGTTTTGAGGAATAGTGTTCGGGATTTCGGGGGGGGAGAAAAGACTTCTAAAAAAATGTTTTTTTTTTAATTAAATTTTTTTATTTTATTTTTTTATTTCTTTAAAAATGTTAAGAGTATTATCCGACTAATAGAACAGTTTATATAATTTGTGGCCAATAAGTTCCGCTACTATTTTTTGGCAAAAATTATCTGCCATATTAAGACAATATGGATACTGTCAATGCAATAGAATCCATATCTGATATATTGTATCTTTTGTTATCATAAAAATAATCTCCAAATCCATACTAATGTAATTTATAATGAATAAATAAAATATATGTATATACGTATGTATATAAAACTAAAAAAAAAAAAGATAAAAAAACAAATAATAAAACTAAATCAAACCACACATGGCGTAAAATGTCATGCATAAAAAGCATCAAAATTATGTTAAGATTCAACTATAGATACAGCTAATCCAAGGTATGGATAAGGTTTAGGTGAAGGGAAAATTTTTCTGCTGATATGAAATCCTTCAATTGGTTGAAAAACAAAATTTCTAATTAACATTCCTAACATTATTTTCATTTCAGTCAAAGCTAATTTATTGCCTATGCATCCTCTTGGACCATTAAGAAAAGGCAAATAATTTAAATTTGTTACATTTAAAGAAGGATCCAACCATCTTTTTGGATCAAAATCATCAACTGTTGAGCCCCAAATTTCAGGTGATTTATGAAGTGCTGAAATTCCAATAAATAATTCAGTATCCTATAAATTATAAAAAAAAGAATATTTATTTAATAAATATTTAAAAGACAAATATATATATATATATATATACGTTTGGTTTATTTAATAAAAATAACAGATATATACCTTTGGAATCAAATGTTCTCCAAAAACTTTATCTTTAGAATTCGCTCGTTTAAGAATTGGTACTAAAAGTAAAAAATTACAAGTTAAAAATTACTTGATCTGTTAAAAAAAAAAAAAATATTAAAGTTATACCTGGAGAATGTAATCTTAAAGATTCTTTAATTACGCAATTTAAATATTCCAAAGAATTAATATCATCAAAAGTAGGATTGAAATTTGATTTATCGGGAAAAGCTTTAACTAATTCTTCACGTAATAAGTCTTGCACATATGGATGTTCTGAAAGTAAATATAAAGCCCAACAAGCTGTAACATTTGTGGTTTCATGTCCTGCTATTAAAAATGTCATAATCTAAATATTGAACCGCAAGAAAAAAAAAATATGAAAAAAAAAAAAAAAAAAAGTAAAATAAATAAATAAATAAAATAAAATAAATACAGTAAAATTAATTAAAATTTTTAATTACCTGATATTTTAATTCTTCGTCAGTTATTTTTTCTTCAACAGGCAATGTTTTATTGATATTGATTAACACAGATAATAGATCCTTGCTTTTTAATTCGCCATTTTTCGCTTCATTATATTTTTCTTCAATCAGTTGTTTTGATACGCGATTAATAACTGCACACGCATTTTTAAATTTCCTATTAATATCTACTGGAATTTCTCTAATAAGTGGAACATAATTTGCTAAAAGACTTATTGTCATACGTAAAACAGTTGGTGGACTATTTAAAATAGAATCATAGGCTTCTGCCAATTCATTTGATGATGTTAATGAATTAAATTCATAATTAAATCCTAAAAAAAAAAGAAATTTCATTATGATAAGCGTTCAATATTGATAAAATCATTCTACAGTATTTTTAATTTTAATTTTCTTTTACCTACTGAACCAATAATATCTAAAGTAGTTTTTGAGATATAAGGCGTAAAATTAATATTAGATTTTCCTTGATTTATTTCATCTTCGATTAAACCTTTTAAGGTAGAAGTTATACGAATAAATGTTGGTATCATTTCCTAATTTTTTTTTAAAAAAATGTTATAAAATATTATAATATATTAATAAAAAATCATAAATTAAAATTTTTAAAATTATATTTTTCATAAATTAAATAATAATTAATTACTTTAATATTATTATGAGTGAAAGCTGGACTCATCATTTTTCTTTGTCTCTTATGATCTTCACCTTCCGAAAATAAAAGTCCTTTACCAGCAATTGCAATGGCAGACGTATTATAAGGTTTAATAAAATCATAATTTTTATTTAATATAATTTCTTGAATTATTTTTGGATCTGCTATAAAAAGACTTGGTTTATTAAATATTCCATGGAATTTTATGATATATCCATATTCTTTAAACCATTTAACTCCAGAATTAAACTAAATTTTTTTTTTAAAAAAAAAAATTTTTTGAAAATATTGTTCATAAGTAAATTAGTGAAATTATTAAAAATTAGAAATACTGTAATAAAGATAATATGTTACATCATCTGCCAAAAATGCTTTAAGATTTCCATAAAATGGACCTTTAGATGGTGGACCAGAAATTTTTCTCAAAGGAGAAATATAAAATGGCCAAATAAAAATTTTATAAGTAATCCATCCTATAACTCCTAACACAAAAAAGCTAATTAAAGAAAATGAATCAAGCATTTTTTTTTTTTTTTTATTAATAAATTTTACTAATAGAATAAGTGAAGCGAGAGGTTTAAAAGTTACGAGAAGAAAAATAGCATTTTTTATAGGGATAATCGACAAAGAGCATTGGTTTCTATAAACTATAAAATAAATTCCTTTGATTGCTATATTTAGGATTTAGTAAGTCGAGAATAGCAATATGTTGCTTTAGAATGCGGACTAGAATTTGGGATTTATATAAATGCATTATAAAATATTCAATTAATTCAACACATGAGCTGCGCCTCACACTCACTTGATGATAAAAATAAGCAATCGAGCGAAACAAATCAATCAAATGAAAAGAAATGTATGAAAGAAATTATCATTGAAATATAAAATTAATTATATTTCGTAATGTTCAATATTTATATATTGTTCTAAATTTTTGAATAAAAGAACTGAATGCTCATTATACGTTGTAAACACATAATCATAATATAACCATTATGATCATTTAGCCATTTAGCCACGGTTTAATCGTTATTATAAGGATTTTGGTAACAAAAGAAAAAATTATTCCATTGTAAACAATCATTTAATTGTTACAATGTTTGTTAGCATTTTCTGTCATTATCCTGCTTTTTTTGGTATACATTTTCTTATTTATAATTTTTCTTTCTCATTAAAAGGTAATGATAAGCGACCTGTTTACACATCAATTATCTGTTATGCTAAATGAATTTTATTAATTTGTATATACTGTATACATTTCTATAATAAATTTGAAAATAAATAAAGTATGACACTTTATTTAATTTATAATGAATGAATAACATGATAATATATCCATAAAAAAACACACAAAATAAATAATAAGATCAATAACAAATTAAGATTCAACTATAGATACAGCTAATTCGAGATGTGGATCAGGTTTAGATGAAGGGAAAGTTCTTCTTCCAATTTCAATTCCTTCAGCTGGTTGAAAAACAAAATTCCTAATTAACATACCCAATAAGATTTTAGCTTCAGCTGAAGCTACCTTATTGCCTATACAACCTCTTGCACCATTTAGGAAAGGCATATAATTTAAATTATTTACTTTTTCAATTAAAGTAGGATCTGTCCATCTATTTGGATCAAATTCACAAGCTGTTGGGCCCCAAATTTCTGGTAATTTTTGTAGTGCTGAAATTCCAATAATCATTTCAGTATTCTATAAATAATAGTAAAAATAAAAAAATTTTAATTAAGTATTCTGAAAAAAAAAAAAATTTAATAAAAATAAAATAAAATGAAAATAATAAATATACCTTTGGAATGAAATATTCTCCAAAGACTTCATCTTTAAGATTAGTTCGTCTAATACCCGGTACTGAAATAAAGTAAAAAAATTATTGTTAGAATAAAATTTTAATTTGTATAAAAAATGAGAGAATTAAAATTAATTTATACCTGGAGGGCTTATTCTTAAAGTTTCTTTAATTACGCAATTTAAAAACTCCAAAGAATTAATTTCATCAAATGTAGGATTGAAATTTGATTTATCAGGAAAAGCTTTAACTAATTCTTCGCGTAATTTGTCTTGATGATGTGGATGTTGTGAAAGTGAATATAAAGCCCAACAAGTTGTAATATTTGTAGTTTCATGACCTGCTATTAAAAATGTCATAATCTATATTCACAAAAAAAAGAGAGGTAAATAAAATAAATAAATAAATAAATAATAATCAATTAATCAATCGATTTACCTGATATTTTAATTCTTCATCAGTCATTTTCTCTTCAATTGGTAGCGTTTTATTGATATTAATCAACAATGATAACAAATCTTTTCCTTTTAATTCTCCATTCTCGGATTCTTTATATTTTACATCAACCAATTCTTTTGATACGCGGCTAATAACTTGACACGCATTTTTAAATCTCTGAGTCGTTTTTAAGGGAAGACTTCTAATAAGTGGAAATCGAGCTGATAACATATTAATGGCAATTCGTAGAGTACTTGGCGGACGATTTAAAATAGAATCGTAAGCTTGTGCTAATTCATTTGGAGATGTTAACGAGTTGAATTCATAACTAAATCCTGGTAAAAAAAAAAAATTATATTTTTTCAGTCTCTTATTATAAAATGCGTTAATATTAAAAAGTCGTTTTCTCCTCACCTACTAAACCAATAATATCCAAAGTTGTTTTTGAAATATAAGGTGTAAGATTTATGCTTGATTTTCCTTGATTTATCTCATTTTCGATTAAACCTTTCAAGGTAGAAGTTACACGAATGAATGTTGGAATCATTTCCTAAATTGAAATAAATAATATTAACTTTTAATTATATTAACTTAATCAAAAATTAAATTTTATAATGAAATTACCTTGATGTTACTATGAGTAAAAGCTGGATTCATCATTTTTCTTTGTCTCTTGTGGTCATCACCTTCTGCAAATACAAGACCTCTACCAATAAGTTCAATAGCGCCTTTATTATAAGGTTTGACGAAGTCATAAGTTTTACTTAAAGTTATTTCTTGAATTATTTTTGGATCCGCGACAAAGAGAACTGGTCTATTAAATAACTCATGGTATTTAACAACATTTCCATATTTTTTAATCCACTTTAGTTGTGGATCTATAAAATCAGACTAATAGCAAAAAAAAAAGGTATCCAAGTTAGAATTAAGAATTATCAAATTAAAAAAAAAATTACAAATAAAGAGTTACCCTTTTTGTCATAAGTGATTGAACATTTCCGAAATATGGATTATCAGATGGTGGACCAGGAATGTTTCTCAAAGGAGAAACATAATAAGGCCAAATAAAAATTTTATAAGTAATCCATCCTATAGCTCCTAACACAAAAAAGCTAACTAAAGAAAACAGATCAAGCATTTTTTTTTATTTTAATTGATAAATTTTATTAAAAATAAAAAAAAATAGGTGAAGCAGAAAATTTTAAAAAGTTGGTTGGTAACGATGAAAAATAACGTATTATTTATTCATTTCGGTGTTCGGTAAAATAATTACCGAGAATACGCCTCCCTTCGCATTATCTAAATGGAAAAAGTCAATATAATAAACTCAAAGTTATTTCGGCCTTAATTCCGTAAATTATTGACAATGTTTCACTGCTTTTTATTTTTATTGAACTAAAACTTCTTTGATTGATTGCTAAATTTAGGCATCAATAAAACAATCAAACCGCAGTTAGCAATAACTGATAAGTTTTCTTATAATAGTTATATTACTATTATGTACTTGTAAAAAGGCTTTATAGTATTATGGCACAGTACTGCGTCTAATGGAAAGACGAAATTCAACTAAAAAAAGAAAGTTTCATTAAGTCGATCCTTTTAAGATCGGTATCAGCTCCCCGTTGCCAATCGACGATTGCGCATTAGTTTATATGAGTTTTGGCAAATTGTTACAATTTGACCTTATAAGGCAATTTTAATTTCACATGCCAATAACAATGATCGACAAAAGTATCCCCGGGCGCCGTTCGCGGCATTGATAACCGAAATATAATAGCAGGACGTGATTTTATTTGCAATTTTAAGTAAAATAGATAAGCATATAAATTGTGTAATTAAGGAAAATTTAAGAATACGCATTCCAGGTACAAATTTGATCTTAATAGTTCTTACCTACTGAAATATCTCTGATAAACGGAACGGCAATTCGTAAAATATTTAGTGGGCTATTGAAAACAGAATCATAAGCTGTTGTTAATTCGTTTGAGGGTATTAATGAATTCAATTCGGGAGTCGTTCAAAATCCCGAAGATCGGATCAGAATCCCGTTACGACACAAAATAAATCATAATCCCTAAAATTCAAAATCCAAAAACTACATTATCCCCAAACATTTACTATCCGAACACTCAACACATATATATGGGGGTGAATTAGGTTCAAGCTATGGCAAAATATTACGATTCGGCATTACACCGGTGTAATACTGGTGTAATATTGGTGTAATACTATTTTCATATGAATCTTCGAAACAAAGATTTGGTGTAATAAATTTCACAATTACGCCGCCTTAATGCCTCGATACAACGAACCTTCCGGTTTCACCTTAAATTCACTATAAGATTATAGCAAAGAATTTAAAGAATTAACAAGTAATATTATATTTTGTGATTGATAAATGTCACGTGTTGGAAAAATTCGTTATAAAGGCTGACTGTATATTATCTTGATTCAAAAATCAAGTATATTGTAAAAGCTGAATTCATTTATCTCATGATCGATGTGTTCGGTCACGGGATGTACACGTACTTGATTGGTCACTATAAATAGCCAAACATTATGATTGGCTTATGATCACGTGAACGAACATGGCTTTAGATCCCAAGTTCTCTCAACAAAGCCTTGTTAAAAGGGTTAACAAAATGTTATACAGTCAAACCTTTATATAACGATATGTCGGGACATATATGAAATTTTTAGAAAATATCGTTATATCAAAGTTATACCGATATTTATATGTCCTCACATATAGTGGGAAAATAAAATTTTATCGGTATATCGAGGTTAGACTGTATTAAGTAAAATAATCCATTATATATAATATTTTATGACCCAATCACTATGCGCAAAAAAAATAGATAATTACAATAAAAATAAGATTACAAAATTAAAAATTTAAACAATGTATTACCTCTCCCGTTATAAGTGATTTGAGATTTCGTGGACCAATAATTTTTTTTCAAAGGAAAAATAAATCCATCCTATAACTCCTCTAGCTAAAGAAATAGTGCAAGACAATTTATTCTTGATAAAATTTTATAAAAAGAATGATAGGAGCGAGAGATTTTAATGTTCGGAACCCGAAACATAGCACCGACTAGCATTATAACTTTTTTCGTTAATTACGCAAACTCGATCTCGGGATCCTTTTATTGTTAATAATAGAACATAAAAATATATATAAGTAAATGTCTTATGATATTGTGGCACAGCACATGAGTTTCGTTGAATACCTTGCTTTATTTAGTACAGTAGTATATATAAGTTAACAATTTTTGATTTTAATTTAATTAAATAGTAATCGCGCCTTCTTTGCAATTACACTTTTAGGAAATTATAAAGTGTAAAGCTTTCCTTAAATGAAAATTTAGAGATCTATGAAAAATTTATCTTTTCCGATGAAAAGATCGGCGCAATGATAAAATATTTTAATGGAAAAATTATTATTATTCACGAATTCAAAACTTTAATCGTAAATTATTTCCCTAATGTTTCAACTTTGGAGTTTGGGCCCGTTATCCGTTTGAATTTTCAATGTTTGAAAAAAAAAGTTTTAGAAAAATATTTTTCGCAAAATTAATGATATAGCCATGAATTTTACATACAACAATAGACTCTACATAATTATACTTCAGATATCTGTCCGACAGATACTACAACATTATTAGTTATGAAATAAATTATTAAACTTTATCATTAAATCTGCAGAATTAATGGCGATTCAGTTTATAGAAAATCGTGATGAAAATATTGATACATTATAAATTTGAAAAGAAATAAATGAGAAAGCTAGTTTTTTATGAATAAATCATATTTAAATGTTTACATATATATAAAGCAGATAATAATAATTACAATAAATAAAAAAAACCAGATAATAAATTTTAAGATTCAACTTTAGATACAGCTAACCCAAGATATGGCTCAGGTTTAGATAAAGGGAAAGCTCTTTTTCTAATTTGAAATCCTTCAATTGGTTGAAAAACAAAATTCCTAATTAACATACCCAATAATATTTTAGCTTCAGCCAAAGCTAATTTATTGCCTATACATACTCTTGGACCACTAAGGAAAGGCAAATAAGTTAAATTTGTTACACTTAAAGAAGGATCCAACCATCTTTTTGGATCAAAATTATCAGCCGTTGGGCCCCAAATTTCAGTTGATTTTTGAAGTACTGAAATTCCAAAAAATATTTCAGAATTCTATAAATAATAATAATAAAATTTAATAAATACTTTAAAAAAAAGGAATTTTTAAACAAAAAAATATATATATATATAAAATAAATAAACCTACCTTTGGAATAAAGTATTTCCCGAAAATTTCATCCTTTAGGTTAACTCGTTTAACAACTGGTACTAGAGTAAAAATCGCTAAGTTAGAATAAAATATTGATTGTTTGAAAACTATTAAAATAAAATTTGTACCTGGAGGGAGTATTCTTAAAGTTTCTTTAATTACGCAATTTAAATACTCTAAAGAATTAATTTCATCATATGTAGGATTGTAATTTGATTTATCAGGAAAAGCTTTAACTAATTCTTCACGCAACTTGTCTTGCTCATGTGGATGTTGTGCGAGTAAATATAATGCCCAACAAGTTGTAACGTTTGTGGTTTCATGCCCAGCCATTAAAAATGTCATAATCTGAAATATTCGCCAAAAAAAAAGATAAATAAATAAAATAAATAAAAATAAATAAATAAACAAACAAATAAATAAAAATCTTTTTTAATTACCTGATATTTTAATTCTTCAAAAGTCATTTTTTCTTCATCGGGCAATGATTTATTAGTATTGATTAATAACGACAACAAATCCTTATTTTTCAATTCTCCATTTTCAGCTTCTTTATACTTTTCTTCAACCAATTTTTTTGATATGCGGCTAATAACTGCACATGCATTCTTAAATTTCAGGTTATTACCTACTGGAATGTCTCTGATAAATGGAACATAATTTGATAACATTATAACGCCAGTTTGAAAAGTACTTCGTGGGCCATTTAAAGCAGAATCATAAGCTTCTGCTAATTCGTTTGAGGATGTTAATGAATTGAATTCATAACTAAATCCTAAAAAAAAAAATTCAGTTTATTGTTGTAAAATGCGTCAAATATTGAAAAAAAAATCATTTATTTTTTTTTTCTCTCACCTACTAAGCCAATAATATCTAAAGTAGTCTTTGAGATAAAAGGTGTAAGATTAATGTTAGAATTTCCTTGATTTATCTCTTTTTCGATTAAACCTTTTAAAGTAGAAGCTATACGAATAAATGTTGGAACCATTTCCTAAATTAATTAAATGTATTAAATATTAATTTGGTTCAAAATTAAATTTACCACGATAAAATATAATTACTTTGATGTTACTGTGAGTGAAAGCTGGATTCATCATTTTTCTTTGTCTCTTATGATCGTCACCTTCCGCAAATACAAGTCCATTACCGATAAGTGCAATAGCAAACTTATTACTAAATTTAACGAAATCATAAGATTTATTATTTGAAAACATTTCCTGAATTATTTTTGGATCAGCGACAAAAAGAGTCGGTTTATTAAATAATCCATTGTATTTTACAATATTTCCATATTTTCTGACCCATTGAAGTTGTGGTTCAGTAAATCCGGCACCCTATAGCAATAAAATAAAATAAAAAATACATACAAAACATTTATAATAAAAATTAAGACTACTAAGTTAAAAATATGAACAATGTGTTACCTTTATAAGTGATTGAAGATTTCCGAAAATTGGATTATCAGATGGTGGACCAGGAATTTTTCCCAAAGGAGAAACATAATAAGGCCAAATAAAAATTTTATAAGTAATCCATCCTATAACTCCTAATAGAAAAAATTTAACTATAGAAATCGAATCAAGCATTTTTTTAAATTTTATGAAAGGGACTTTAGTGAAGGATAACGTATTTATTTATTTATTTTACCGTCGGTAAGATAATTGCCGTGTTCCCGACATTTCGAGTTACTGCGGTTAGTATTATAATTTTTTTGGTTAATTATAATTTGCCGAACAATAAGGAATATTATGGTACAGCACATGACTGACATGACTCAGTACACTATCATTTGTCTAAAAGGGGATTAATTTTTGATAAGTGCCGATCCGGTGTATTTGGAAATCGCCGTAAATTCTTATTGTACATAATATTTATCGCCGTGTGCGACCCCCCGATAAGTCACTCTAAGGGGTATTCACAAATATGGAAAACCCGGATTTTTCCTGAAGAGAAGGGTCGATTATTAGTGATTACCAGAGGAAATCTTCAGTTATTTAAGAAAACTACTTAAATAATTGAGATTTCTGCATGAATTTCCTTCGGAAATCGCTAATAATCGACCCTTCTCTACATACATAGCTATCCAAGAAAATTTAAAAGAGTTTTCCAGATTTATGGATACCGATTATCTTCATACATGGATCGCACTAATTTGAAAACAGCGATAATTAAAATTATTGGAATAACAATTATTGTTAAACTTTAATTATAAATTATTTGTTTCTAATGAATATTTTTTTTTTATGACAAGAACAAATAATTTTCTTTGTACGCGTATAATCATGATTATTTTGCCACGTTCATTGACAATATTATGTATACTGTCATTTTTGATGTTATTTATTTGATATGCGTTTTTTACAAAGAATTTTTTACTCTCAGAATTAGGTAAAAGGTAATTGTTTAACAACTCAATCATGTTAAATGATATATTTAATACTTATTATACATTAGTTATAATTTTAAAATTAAATGAATTATGACGTTTATTGAAACAAAAGTAGTTTATATTGAATAGTAAATAAATATAGTAAATAACGTAATTGATTATACTGTACATGTATATAAAAAGAAGATAAATTCAGATAATAAATTTAAGATTCAACTATAGATATAGCTAACCCAATATATGGATCAGGTTTAGATAAAGGGAAAGGTTTTTTTCTAGTTTGAAATCCTTCAATTGGTTGAAAAACAAAATTCCTAATTAACATTCCTAACATTATTTTCATTTCAGCTAAAGCCAATTTATTGCCTATACATCCTCTTGGACCACCAAGGAAAGGCGAATAATTTAAATTTGTTACATTTAAAGAAGGATTCAACCATCTTTTTGGATCAAAATTATCAGCCGTTGGGCCCCAAATTTCAGATGATTTTTGAAATGCTGAAATTCCAATAAATATTTCAGAATTCTATAAATAATAATAAATAATTTAATAAATAATTTAAAAAAAAAGAAAAAAACAAATATATATAAAAATAAATAAACTTACTTTTGGAATAAAGTATTTCCCGAAAACTTCATCCTTTAGATTAGTTCGACTAATAATTGATACTAGAGAAAAAATGCTAGGTTAGAATAAGAAATTGATTTTTTTGAAAACTATTAAATCAAATTTGTACCTGGAGTGCACATTCTTAAAGTTTCTTTAATTACGCAATTTAAATACTCTAAAGAATTAATTTCGTCATATGAAAGATTGAAATTTGATTTATCGGGAATAACTTTAACTAATTCTTCACGCAACAAGTCTTGCTCATGTGGATGTTGTGCGAGTAAATATAATGCCCAACAAGTTGTAGCGCTTGTGGTTTCATGTCCAGTTACTAAAAATGTCATAATCTGAAATATTCGCAAAAAAAAAAAAAGACAATTAAAAATAAATAAATAAACATAAATAAATCACTGGTCGAAGTGGTATGGTCTCCACTATGGAAACCTTGGTATATATGATGGAAACTTGTCTAATTTGCACAACATTTCCATAACATCCCACAAAAACTGGAAACTTCATTGAAATCTGGCGCACTATGGAAATTGGACAGGTTTCCACCAAATTTTAATGGTATAACTTTATGTTAACTATATCTCTTCGACCTGTGAATAGATAAATAAAAATCTTTTTAATTGCCTGATTTTTTAATTCCTCATAAGTCATTATTTCTTCATCGGGCAATATTTTGTTAGTATTGATTAATAACGACAACAAATCCTTATTTTTCAATTCTCCATTTTCGGCTTCTTTATATTTTTCTTCAACCAGTTTCTTTGATACGCGGCTAATAACTGCACACGCATTCTTAAACTCCACGTTCGTGCCTATGAGGATATCTTTTATAAATGGAATATAATTTGCTATCAAGATAACGGCAACTCGTAAAGTATTTAGTGGGGCATTGAAAACAGAATCTGCTATTTCGTTTGAGGATGTTAACGAATTGAATTCATAACTAAATCCTAAAAAACAAACTTGTTATAACAATGAGTCAACATTGAAAAAACCCATTTATCTATCATTTTTTCTCTCACCTACTGAGCCAATAATATCCAAAGTAGTCTTTGAAATATAAGGTGTAAGATTAATGTTAGAATTTCCTTGATTTATCTCATTTTTGATTAAACCTTTTAAAGTTGAAGTTACACGAATAAATGTTGGAACCATTTCCTAAATTAATTAAATGTATTAAATATTAATTTGGTCCAAAATTAAAATTTTCCACAATGAAATATAATTACTTTGATGTTACTGTGAGAGAAAGCTGGATTCATCATTTTTCTTTGTCTCTTATGATCGTCACCTTCCGCAAATGCAAGACCATTACCGAGAAGTGCAATAGCAAGCTTGTTTTGAGATTTAAAGAAATCATAAGCTTTATCACTTGATGTCATTTCTTGAATTATTTTTGGATCGACGACAAAAATGGTCGGTTTATTAAATAATCATTGTATTTTATAACATTTCCATATTTTCTGACCCATTGAAGTTGTGGTTCAGTAGAGTCGACAGACTAAAGCATAAAATTAAAAAATATACACTTATTCTAATAAAATTAAGACTACTAAGTTAAAATATGAACAATGCGTTACCTTTACAAGTGATTTAATATTTCCGAAAATTGGACTTTCAGATGGTGGGCCAGGAATTTTTCTCAATGGAGAAACATAATAAGGCCAAATAAAAATTTTGTAAGTGATCCATCCTATAACTCCTAATAAAAAAAAAGCCAACTATAGAAATCGAATCAATCATTTTTTTTTTTTAAGAAATAGGTGGAGAAGAATAACGTATTTATTTATTTCACGTTGAAGATACTGTATAAGGACCGGGTTAGCATTATAATTTTGTTGGTTAATTACGCTAACCAGAGTAACAAAGAATATTGTGATACAAGCATACAGCACATGACTGGCATGATACAGTACGTCAATCTTAACATTAAGTGTGTATTTTCAATTTTGAAAATCCTCCCATATCGGCTGATCAGAAAAGCCTCCCATAATTTTATATGCTAAATGACAATAAGTAACCCATCAGTTATATAATGAACCCATCAACTGAGCTTAAATATTAATTGGCTTGATTTTTCCAATCAGCCGATATGCTTGGCGTTTCTTACACGAAATTAATGATATAGAGAACTATTTTATAGGAGAGAAATCAAATACTTTTTTTTTATTAGTTCGCAGCGGTAATTTTTATAATGGAATACATTTGTCAAAATTATTAGTGTCGAAAATTATTGGTATATTGTATGCATATAGTCATGACTATTTGTCACGATTTTAATATGTTAGTTGACAATATGATGTACTATATACTGTCATTTCAATGCTATTTTTTGATATGCATTTTCTTACAAAGAATTTTTCATTCTCAGAATTAAAAGGTAATTATTAAAAACTCAATTAAGTTAAATGATATATTCAATACTATACATTAGTTATCACTTTAAAATTAAATGAATAATGACATTTTTGAAACAAAAGTAGCATAGTAAATAAATATAGTAAATAACGTAATTGTTTATTTATACTGTATATGTACAGTATATAAAAAGAAGATAACAAATTTAAGATTTATCAGCCGTTAGGCGCCATTAAAAATGTCATTATCTGAAATATTCTCAAAAAAAAGATAAATAAAAAAAAAATAACATAAATAAATAAAAATCTTTTTTCTAATTGCCTGATTTTTTAATTCTTCAAAAGTCAATTTTCCTTCATCGGGCAATAATTATCTATATTTTTCCTTGATTTATCTCATTTTTGATTAAACCTTTTAAAGTAGAAGCTATACGAATAAATGTTGGAACCATTTCCTAAATTAATTAAATATATTAAAATATTGATTTGGTTCAAAATTTTCCACAATGAAATATAATTACTTTGATGTTGCTGTGAGTGAAAGCTGGAGTCATCATTTTTGTTATGATCGACACTGCAAGACCATTACCCATTCAACCTGTGATATTTACCTGTTATGAGAAAGAAAAAATTGTTGATAGTGGCTAAATTTTTATTTATGGTAATGAGTCATAGCCAGTTCCTCTTTTAGAACTAGCAGACTTTACCAATAACAAAATTAGGATGTCTGCTTGAGTTGGTTATTAAGTGAACAAGTAATTAAAAAAAAAAATAAGAAAGAAATAAAAAAAATAAAAAAATAAAAATAAAAATAAAAATAATTAAAAGAAAAAGCAGGTAATTCTCCTAAGTCAACCTTGTGAACTCCCCGACTCAATTAAGTAATCCATTCTAGATTTTCTTAGGAGTTACCCACTTAAATAAAAAAATCATCCACCACCTTTCACCAACCCAAACAAACAAATCCAAGTATTCTCCTAAGTAAAATTTGTGAACTCCCCGACTCAATTGAGTAATCCGTTCTAATTTTGCTTAGGAGTTACTCACTTTGCAAAATAAAAGTAAATGAAAGAGGTGTATTTGGTTACGGTACATTTCGCCGAAAGTCATTTCGCCAAAAGGACGTTTCGCCGAAAGGACGTTTCGCCGAAAAATAGGGCCAACATTATGCAGAATTATAAATAACTCAGGCCAGAGGTTATTTTTCGGCGAAATGGCTTTCGGCGAAATGTCCCGATTGACCCGATATCATATCATATCTCACCAAATAGTAACCGTAACAAGTTTCATTAATATTATTAGAATTTATCTTAAATATAAAATTATAAAATTACTGCTTCAGGATATTCATTACGGAATAACAAAAATTGGGTCTTCTACTTTTTTATCTAATCAGGAATTGTCTCTTAATGATTAATTTTCTTAGTTTAATAATTAAAAGACCAACAAATCAATATTCAAGTACCTGTCCTCGAGTTGAAGTATTTGTAGTATGAGTAAGTTATACGTAATTTATCGATACTTCAAGACTATGCATTATCATATGACCAAAATAATAATGTATATTTTAAACTACAACTAATAATCAAAAATTTAGTTTCTCACGCTTTCTTTCCCTCTATCTTTTTTTTTCGTCGTCGTCTTTTTTTAGGGATATAATTTATCAATTATTTTTCTTTGTACACGTATAATCATGATTATTTTGCTACGGTTTTAATGTTAGTTGTCAAAATTATGTAACAAAAATTTTCATTCTCAGAATTAAAAGGTAATTGTTTAAAAACTCAATTAAGTTAATGATATTATTTAATACTATACATTAGTTATCATTTTAAAATTAAATGAATTATGATATTTATTGAACATAGTAAATAAATATAGTAATAACGTAATTGTTTACACATGTATATAAAAAGAAGATAAATTCAGAAAATAAATTTAAGATTCAATTATAGATACAGTCAACCCAAGATATGGATCAGGTTTAGTTAAAGGAAAAGATGCTTTTTTAATTTTAAATCCTTTAGTTGGTTGAAAAACAAAATTCCTGATTAACATTCCTAATATTATTTTAGCTTCAGCCAAAGCTACTTTATTGCCTATACATCCTCTTGGGCCATTAAGGAAAGGCAAATAATTCAAATTTGCTGCATTTGTTGTAGAAGGATCCAACCATCTTTTTGGATCAAAATTCTCAGCCGTTGGGCCCCAAAGTTCAGTTGATCTTTGAAGTACTGACGTTCCAATCAATGTCTCAGTATTCTATAAATATTAATAAAAAAAATTAATAAATACTTTGAAAAAAAGGAATTTTTTAAACAAAAAAAAATAATATATATAAAAAATAAATAAACCTACCTTTGGAATCATGTATTCCCCAAAAACTTCATCCTTTACATTAAATCGACTAACAACTGGTACTAGAGTAAAAGTCGCTAAATTAGAATAAAATATTAATTTTTTGAAAACTATTAAAATCAAATTTGTACCTGGAGGGATTAATCTTAAATTTTCTTTAATTACGCAATTTAAATACTCTAAAGAATTAATTTCGTCATATGTAGGATTGAAATTTGATTTATCAGGAAAAGCTTTAACTAATTCTTCACGCAACTTGTCTTGCTCATGTGGATGTTGTGCGAGTAAATACAATGCCCAAGAAATTGCAATACTTGTGGTTTCATGTCCAGCCATTAAAAATGTCATAATCTGAAATATTTGCAAAAAAAAGATAAATAAAAAATAAATAAATAAAAATAAAAAATCTTTTTTTTTTAATTGCCTGATTTTTTAATTCTTCAAAAGTCATTTTTTCTTCATCAGGCAGTATTTTGTTAGTATTGATCAATAACGACAACAAATCCTTATTTTTCAATTCTCCATTTTCGGCTTCTTTGTATTTTTCTTCAACCAGTTGTCTTGATACGCGGCTAATAACTTCACACGCATTCTTAAAATTCACGTCCATGGCTGTTGAAATATCTTTTATAATTGGAATATAAGTTGCTGCCATCATAACGGCAATTTGTAAGATACTTAGTTGCTTATTGAAAAGAGATTCATAAGCTGCTGCTAATTCGTTTGAGGATGTTAACGAATTAAATTCATAACTAAATCCTAAAAAAAAAATTTCAGTTTCTTGTTATAAAATGCGTCAACATTGAAAAACCATTTATCTATCTTTTTTTTCTCACCTACTAAGCCAATAATATCTAAAGTAGTCTTTGAGATATAAGGTGAAAGATTAATATTAGAATTTCCTTGATTTATCTCTTTTTCGATTAAACCTTTTAAAGTTGAAGCTACACGAATAAATGTTGGGACCATTTCCTAAATTAATTAAATGTATTAAAAATTAATTTGATTCAAAATTAAAATTTTTACAATGAAATATAATTACTTTAATGTTACCGTGAGTGAAAGTTGGAGTCATCATTTTTCTTTGTCTTTTATGATCGTCACCTTCCGCAAATACAAGACCATTACCGAGAAGTGCAAGATTAAACTCATTATGAGATTTAACGAAATCATAAGCTTTACTACTCGTCAATATATCTTGAATTATTTTTGGATCGGTGACAAGAAGGGTTGGTTTATTAAATAATCCATTGTATTTTACAATATTTCCATATTTTCTGACCCATTCAAGTTTTGGATCAGTAGAGTCGACAGACTAAAGCAATAAAATAAAAAAAATACATACATATTATAATGAAAATTAAGACTATTAAGTTAAAAATATTGAACAATGCTTACCGACAGAAGTGATTGTAGATTTCCTAAAATTGGATTGTCAGATGGTGGACCAGGAATTTTTCTCAAAGGAGAAACATAATAAGGCCAAATAAAAATTTTATAAGTGATCCATCCTATAACTCCTAACAGAAAATAGCTAAGCAAGCTAACTATAGAAATCGAAGTAAACATTTTTCTTAAATTTTATGAAAGAAATAGGTGGAGAAAAGTAGCGTATTTATTTATTTCACTGTTCTGCAGATTAAATTGCCAAGACCTCGAAGATACTGTATGGGAGGGATTTTGACTCACTTGATGATCGACATTCTAATTAAATCACAAGAATATTTTGGTACAGCACATGACTAACATGAGAAGCCCGACACTCACGATCCTGATAAGTTATCATTTAACAATTAAGTCATTCAAACTAATAATTGGTTTAACGTCCCTTTCTGGTTCAAAAATTTGGGGGATGGAGGGAATAATTTAACATATAAAAATATTATTTAGGAATTTCCGGTAAAATCGGAAATATTCGGTCCACCTAATTTTAGAAAAGAGAGGGGGTGCTTTAACAAACATATGTGAACATATGTGTTTAAATTACCTTTGAAATTTTTCAAAAATAGAGAGGGGAGGGGGAATGACGTTAAACTAAAAATTAATTTGGAGCGGGCCTTAGTTTGATTAAGTGCCGATCCAGTCAGTGTATTGAAAATCACCTCCTTTGCTAGATCATTTTCTACACGAAATTAATGATAGAAAGAAATATTTCTTAGGAGAGAATCAAATGCATTTTTTTGATAAATTCTTATTGTACTAAATTAATTTTTTTAATATTTATTAGTTCGCTGCGATAATTTTTTATAATGGAATACATTTGTTAAAATTATTAGTGTCGAAAATAATTGGAATATTCCTAATGTTTCTGCTATAATATTTTTTTTTAATGACAAGAACGAATAAATCTCAGAATTTAAAGGTACTGTAATGTTTAACAACTCAATTAAGCTAAATGATATATTTGATACTATCCCTATAAAAAATTTTATCCGTTATTTCTGTAAAAACTCCGTAAAAATGAGCCTTTCACGAGTCCATTCACGGAAAATGTAAATAATTCGCCTTTTACGGGCATACGTTATCATTTTAAAACTAAATGAATTATGACGTTTATTGAAACAAAAGTAGTTTATACTGTTTAAATTGTGAAGAGATCATTTCCTAAGGGGGATTAAAAATCTATAAAATCTAAATTATGACATTTTTGGCCATCCCCTAGTAAATAATGTAATCTGATAATAAATTTAAGATTCAACTATAGATACTGCTAATCCAAGATATGGTTCAACTTTTGGTGAAGGGAAAACTCTCTTTTTAATTTGAACTCCTTCGATTGGTTGAAAAACAAAATTCCTGATCAACATTCCTAATAATATTTTAGCTTCAGCTAAAGCTACTTTATTGCCTATGCAACCTCTTGCACCATTAAGGAAAGGTAAATAATTTAAATTTGTTATATTTTTAATTAAAGAAGGATCTAACCATCTTTTTGGATCAAAATCGTCAGCTCTTGGGCCCCAAATTTCAGTTGATTTTTGAAGTACTGAAATTCCAATAAATATTTCAGTATTCTATAAATAATAAAAATAATAATAATAATAATAAGTACTTAAAAGACTTTTTTTTAGCAAAAAATATATATACTATATAAGTATAATAACATGCCTTTGGAATAAGATGTTCTCCCAAAACTTCATCTTTGAGATTAGTTCGTCTAACGGCTGGTACTGAATAAAGTAAAAAATTATTGTTAGAATAAAATTTTAATTTGTTCAAAAAATGAAGATTAAATTTAATTTATACCTGGAGTGTTTAATCTTAAAGTTTCTTTAATTACGCAATTTAAATACTCCAATGAATTTATTTCATCATATGTAGGATTGAAATTTGATTTATCAGGAAAAGCTTTAACTAATTCCTCACGTAATAAGTCTTGCTCATGTGGATGTTGTGCGAGTGAATATAAAGCCCAACAAGTTGTAACATTTGTAGTTTCATGCCCTGCTATTAAAAATGTCATAATCTGAAAATATTTACCAAAAAAAAAGGTAAATAAATAACAATAAATAAATAACAAATAAATAAAATAAATAGTAATCAATATTTTTTTAATTACTTGATTTTTTAATTCTTCATGTGTCATTTTTTCTTCATCGGGTAATGTTTTATTGGTATTAATTAATAATGACAACAAATCCTTATTTTCCAATTCTCCATTTTCTGCTTCTTTAAATTTTTTTTCAGCCAATTTCTTTGATTCGCGCTCAATAGTCGCACACGCATTCTTAAATTTCACATTCATATCTACTGGAATATCTCTGAGAAATGGAATATAATTTGCTAACAAAATAACAGCAGCTTGTAAGGTATTTAGTTGGTTATTGAAAATAGAAGCATAAGCTTCTGCTAATACGTTTGGAGATGTTAGCGAATTAAATTCATAATTAAATCCTAAAAATAAAAAAATAGGGTTTTCAGTTTCTTGTTATAAAAACGCGTCAACATTGAAAAATCATTTTAATTATTTTTTTTTTTTATCTTACCTACTAAACCAATAATATCCAAAGTAGTTTTTGAGATATAAGGTGTAAGATTAATATTAGAATTTCCTTGGTTTATCTCCTTTTCGATTAAATCTTTTAAATTAGAAGTTACACGAATAAATGTTGGAACCATTTCCTAAATTGATTAAATGTTAATTTGGTTCAAAATTAAAATTTTCCACAATGAAATATAATTACTTTGATGTTACTGTGGGTGAAAGCTGGAGTCATCATTTTTCTTTGTCTCTTATGAACGTCACCTTCCGCAAATACAAGACCATTACCGAGAATTGCAATAGCAGACTTATTATAAGGTTTAACAAAATCATAAGTTTTACTCAACGTTATTTCTTGAATTATTTTTGGATCGGCGACAAAAAGTGTTGGTTTATTAAACAACCCATTATATTTTACAATATTTCCATATTTTCTAACCCATTTAAGTTGTGGTTCAATAAAACTGTTAGACTAGCAATAAAACAAAAAATATTTGTTACAATAAAAATTACGATCATGTAGTTAAAAATATGGACCATGCGTTACCTCTCCTGTTATGATAGATTTAAGATTTCCGGAAATCGGATTGTCAGATGGTGGACCAGGAATTTTTCTCAAAGGAGAAACATAAAATGGCCAAATAAAAATTTTATAGGTAATCCATCCTATAACTCCTAATACAAAAATGCTAGCTAAAGAAGTCGATTCAAGCATTTTTTTTATTTTGTTAATAAAATTTATTAAAAGAATAGTTGGAATGAAAGATTTAAAGTAGAAAATAAAAAGAAAAACTGTATTATTTATTATTTCGGTTTTCGGTAAAATAATTTACGGAATCCGAAATATCCAATAGGGTCGGAATTATAGAGTGCCGAGTACCGAGAGTTTGTTTTGGGTGACAAATGATTTACTATTTTAATTTTTATTGAACAATGATAAAAATAACAACAGGAATAGTAAATTTGCTACCTTATAAGCAATGATGTATTAATTATATCATGTATGATTGTACGTATAAACTTCGTGAGCTGCGTCAACTCTGGATTCTGGAATCTCATATGTTGCCAAGACAAACAAAAAAGCAATTAATTCATTGGTTTATATTAGTTTTCGCAAAAATATCGCCCCAAATTTTTAATACTTGATAAATTAAAGTAAGTTCCTTATGCAAAAAAATTTAATATTTCATGAAACAAATTAAATAATCAAATTTTTTTTTTTACGTTTTGCAATAGCTTATTATTGGTAAATCTTGCGAAAGCAAATTTATTTTTCTTATTGTATTGCTGTATCGCTGTAGCCTCAACTCGGGACATAATAAAGTTCGAGTTACAACAGTACTAAATTAATTTTTATTTAATTTAATTTAATTTTTTGTTTTATAAAATATTTTGGATAGATATTTTAGTAAAGAACTACCGTATGTAACAAAATGTTACGCAGCAAAAGCTAGTTCATGGGACTTGACGATTATTATTGCCATATAAATTATAAAAAGCAGAGTGAAGCAGTTAATAACTTACATCCAGCATAACTTATATAATTAATATAGTGGGAAGTCGAACTGGAAAAATAATTGGATAGAAATAAATTCTAATTTAATTCTTTGATTCTCTTGCAGTTCTATATTTCTTTATTTATTCTTTATTTACTATTTTATTATTGTATTCAAATCGCATTTATTCATTGTGCAACCATTATTTATTTAATAAATCATACACTACATATCCGCCGATGCATATTATATAAAAACCCATCTAGCAGTGCCAAAATTATCACATGCATTCTGCAGATCGGCTGATATGATTTTGTCGTTCTTGATTACATTCTATATTTTATTTTTTGTCACGTGATGACTCGACCGAAGGAATAAAATTTCTTAGCGCCATCATTTTGTTATGTCGAAGCCATGGTAGCTAATTCAAATTATTAACTGAAGTCGGAAGTTGAGATTGTGATATGTACTCAATTTAATAATTTTAACTAAATTGTTTTATTACGTACGCTTGTTTTTTTGGTATGCATAACAAGCGACATTGAAATGGATTTTTTAATCAAAGTATATTTAATCGTAATAAATAATAAACCATTTATTTTCAAACTGATAGACTATAACTGTTGAAAATTTGAAATACATATAAATATAAAATACTGTACATCGAATATTAATAAATTTAAGATTCAACTATAGATACAGCTAATCCAAGATATGGTTCAGGTTTAGGTGTAGGAAATACTTTTCTTCTAATGTGAAGCCCTTCAATTGGTTGAAAAACGAAATTCCTAATTAACATGCCTAACAATATTTTAATTTCAACTAAGGCTACTTTACTGCCTATACAACCTCTTGCACCATTAAAGAAAGGCATATAATTTAGATTTGTTACATCTTTTATTGAGGAAGGATCTAGCCATCTTTTTGGATTATACTTATCAGCTGTTGGACCCCAAATTTCAGTTGATTTATGAAGTGCCGAAACTCCAATAAATATTGGAGTATTCTATGAATAGTAAAAAAAAAATTTAATAAGTACTTTAAATATTTAAATAAATAAATAAATAAATATAATAACATGCCTTTGGAATAAAATATTCCCCAAAAACTTCATCTTTAAGATTAGTTCGTGTAATAGTCGGTACTAAAATAAAAAAAAATTTTTAAAGTTAGAATAGTTTTTGATATGTTGAGAGCAATTAAATTTAATTTATACATGGAGGGTTCAATCTTAAGGTTTCTTTAGTTACGCAATTTAAATACTCCAGAGAATTAATTTCATCATATGTAGGATTGAAATTTGATTTATCAGGAAAAGCTTTAACTAATTCCTCACGTAATAAGTCTTGCTCATGTGGATGTTGTGCGAGTAAATGTAAAGCCCAGCAAGTTGTAACATTTGTCGTTTCATGTCCTGCTATTAAGAATGTCATAATCTAAAGTATTCACAAAAAAAGAGTGATAAATAGGAAGTAATTAAATAATTATAATTTTTTTTTTAATTACCTGATGCTTCAATTCGGTGTCATTTATTTTTTCTTCATCGGGTAATGTTTTATTGATATTGATTAACAAAGATAATAGATCCTTTCCTTTCAATTCACCATATTTAGCTTCATTATATTTTTCTTCAGTTAATTTCTTTGACACGCGTTCAATAATTGCACACGCATTTTTAAATTTCTTATTTATATCTACTGGAATTTGTCTAACAAGTGGAACATAATTTGCTAAAAGACTTATGGCAATGCGCAAGTTAGACGCTGGTAAATTAAAAACAGATTCATAAGCTGCTGCTAATTCATTTGAAGATGTTAATGAATTAAATTCATAGCTAAATCCTAAAAAAAAAAAAATAGATTTTCTCTTATTAAAATGAACGTGAAAATATCGAAATATAAAATATTATTTTTTGTCTTACCTACTATGCCAATCATATCCAAAGTAGTTTTTGAGAGGTAAGGTGAAAGGTTGATGTTAGATTTTCCTAGTTTTACTTCATTTTCGATTAAACCTTTTAAGATTAAAGTTATACGAACAAATGCTGGTGCCATTTCCTAAATATTAAATACATTAACTTTGTTCAAAATTAAAAATTTGCAATGAAATATAATTACTTTGACGTTACTGTAAGTGAAAGCTGGATTCATCATTTTTCTTTGCCTCCTATGATTTTCACCTTCCGCGAAAAAAAGACCTATACCGGCAATTGCAAGAGCAGATGCATTAAAAGGTTTAACAAAATTATAGGTGTTGCTTAACGTCATTCCTTGGATTATTTTTGAATCAGCGATATAAAGGGTTGGTTCATTAAATAATCCATGGTATTTTACAATATTTCCATATTTTTTAACCCATCTATGTTGTGGTTCACTAAAACCAGACTATATCAAGAAAGGAAGTAAGTTAAAATAATAATTAAAGACTGCCAAACTAGAAATGTAATAATATGTTACCTCTTCTGTCGTAAGTTCTTTAAAATTTCCGGTAATTGGATTTTCGGATGGTGGACCAGGGATCTTTCTCAAAGGAGATATATAAAATGGCCAAATAAAGATTTTGTAAATAACCCATCCAATAACTCCTAACACAAAGAAGCTAACAAATAAAGTCAAATTCATCATATTTTTTTTTTTTTAATAAGTGAGAGATTTTATAAGTTAGAAAAAGAAAATAACGTATTATTTATATAGATTTATCGCGCTGTTAGTTTTCCGCTAGAATGATTGATTATCTTTGTTTGATTTTTTTGTTTGTTATTTGTGTTAGAATGTATTAGAATGGATGTTGTTATTTGATTTGGGATCTGCAATCATTATTCTGCAATTAGATTTTATTGGACAATAAATAAGCTATTTTTAAACTCCATGTGAATAATGTAAGCAATGATGTGCTTATCCATTTAATAATCAAAAGAACGAATTCAATTAATATAATAAAAGGAATTTAAATCAAAGCGATTATTAGGAAATGACCTACAATATAGAAATATGTAAATATTATTATTATTTATTGTTATAAGTTAGATTGGCATTTATTAATATGTGCCAAAGTCATTTATTTTAAAATAAATTTCATTTTTTTTTTAATGACTTACTATTCATAACGATAATAAATGTAACTCGTATCACATTTAGTTATTGTATAATGAACATTATTTCTGGAATAATCTGTGGAATAGAAGAATTGTAAGAATTGTACACATCTTTCATTTCATAGTAAGAAACTGCTAAAACGGGTTCTTTTCATTGTATAATATGCCACTCAATAAACTATTATTACGATCTAAAAAAACGAGATTTTTGTTCTATATCAGTGTAAATTGGCGCAATTGTGGGAATCGTACCAATTAAATTGGTCAATATATTGTAAGCCATTAAAACTAATTCATAACAACAATTCAATCATATAAAAAGTATACCAGATATGGGAAAATTAAAATGACTGTTTATTCGACATTGAATAAAACTATTATTAGTCAACAAGTCATGATCTTTCGATTAGATAATTAGATCGACTCGGACTTCAAGGAATAAAAGAATAAAAGCAATATAATAGAAATATAATTATCATTTTTTAATTACAAATATCGGATTTAGCAAATAGAGTTAAATACTACTAAATGAAATTATTATTAATATACTGAACTTTTTCGTTTTTAATTTAGAGGTGCAGTTGGAACTCGATCACATTGGGATGAGCCGTATCACAACTGAGATATAACTAGTTGTAACTAATTAATTTGACGTCTTTTCTTAGGTTGGTCTAATATAAAGATTTCTTCTTCTGAAGCACTTTGCTCATCATTGTTGTTCACAGTTTAGAATAATTTCAATCATTGAAAAACAAAATATAATTGTTTCATGAAATTTATAATCAAAGATCAGTATGAAAACTTTAATTTTTGATAACAAATTCGGAGAGATTTAAAATTTATACTGTTAAGCAGTGATGTGCATTGAAGATTGGAAGCTATTGGAATCTTCCAATTCTTTCAATTCCAAGTCTTCCAATTCCGATAAAAAGTCATTGGAAGCTTCCAATGCACATCAATGCTGTTAGCTATTTATACTATTAAACTATTTTATGCTATCAAACTACCGTAGAGCACTGACTAAACTACCCTGGGTTTTTTACAAATCTACCACCGAATTTGCAAAATACCCGGGTAGTTTAATCAGGGGGTATTTTGTATTGAGGGGGGTATCTTGTATAGAGATTAGAGATGCGACAATTGCGACATGTTGATCAAATACAGTATACTTGCACGATATAAAAAGTATTTTGTAGCGCTTTCTTTGCGTTTTATGGTTTGGGAAGAATTTTAATAGTTGTAATGATAAAGATATAAAATCTAAATAAAAAAATTCGTTTATAAATAAATAAATATAAAATTTTGATAAATACAATAAATACAAGTAAAATCGGCTATTTTCCAGTTCAAAAAAAATCAACTATATAAAATACCCGGGTTTCTTACAAAATTTGGACCAAAACCCTAGGAGGGTAGTTTAGTCAGTACTCTACGGTATTTAAACTATTTATACTCTACGGAACATTTGCCACAGTAAGTTGACTAATAACGTTTTCAGTTGATAGGTTTGCTGCGTATGTGCCAATGAAAGTGTTATCACACATTTACAGTACATAGTAAAGTTCTATATTTTAAATTTCTTCATTCCTCTTATTTCATTTTGTTAAATTTATTAAATTATGCATTGAAAGTATATACATTATAATTCTCTCTTATTGACAGTATTAAGCTTCAAGTTTGGCTTCGGAAATGAAAAAGTCTCAAAGGTAAGTGAAAGGTTTGAAGTGCGACTAATTTAACGAAATTCACATAAAGTATATAAACGGCTTCTTTGTTTTTTTATTAAAACAATATGATGAATATACTAACACTTGGGACAAGTAGCTTGGTAGCAAAAAAAATGAATTTATCAAAACTAAAATAAAGATGACGCAATAATTTTTATGGCGCAGTACGTGTGATTAATACTTAATAGTATTAAACGATACATACAAAAATTCATATATAATAACTAGAAATTTAGAAAAAATTTAAATTTTGAGAGTTTACATTTATAAATCATATGATTTTTGAGAATTAATTCACATATCCAGCCAAAATAATAAAGAAATTTTTATTTGCATATAAAACTTAAAGTAGCTTGAAATATATTACGAACATTAAAGTAAAACTATGATTAAAGAATTATTAAAAAAAATCGTATTTTAGTACATTGGACTTTACTTATAACGTTAAATAAGTTAAAAAATAACAGATAATTTCATTTATTAGTATTTAACTCAAGCTTAACTATATGCGCTTAATTTTATACTGATAATCTACTTCGCACAAATCTTTATGTAAAATTCCTTATTAATCTGACTATAAAACAATAAATTTTATTGAGGATATTTTGTTGTTGAGACACAACGGAATGCGCGAACCGCTAAAGATATAGGAAATTTTAGTTATAAATTTTATATATTTTATTTGTTGTATTTCCTAGATATATTATTATCCAATCAAATTAACTAAAATTTTATTATAATGGAAAATATTTGTCCAAGTTATTATAAATATTAATTACACTTTAAACTTATTTCCTCCTAAACTTTCGACTTAATCTACTGTACGTTTTTTTTTTGAAAGCGATAAAGCACTAGCGCAGCAGGTAGATTGCGGAAGTACCGTACTATACTCAGTTTGTTTTATATACATTATACGATACACTTATTAGAATATGCCCACTAATCATAAACAAACTTATAATAAAACAATATTTTGTTAAGATTCAACTATGGATACAGCTAATCCAAGATATGGATCAGGCTTGGGTGCAGGGAAAGATCTTTTTCTAATGTGAAATCCTTCAATTGGTTTAAAAACAAAATTTCTAATCAACATACTCAACAATACTTTAAATTCAGTTAAAGCTACTTTACTGCCTATACAATTTCTTGGGCCAGTAAGAAAAGGTAAATAATTTAAGTTTGATACATTTTTAGTTAAAGAAGTATCCAACCATCTTTTTGGATCAAAATTATCGGCTGTTGGGCCCCAAACTTCAGTTGATTTATGAAGTGCTAAAATTCCCAATGATATTTCAGTATTCTATAAATAATAAAAATAAATAAATAAATAAATAAAATTTAAAAAGAATTCTTTAGCGAAAATAAAATTTAAACGTACTTTTGGAATGAAATAATTCTCCATAACTTCATCTTTAAGGTTGGTTCGAACAATAGTTGATGCTAAAATGAGAAATCACTAAGTTAGAATAAAAATTTGATTTGTTAAAAACTATCAATATTAAATTTTTTACCTGGAGGATTTAATCTTAAAGATTCTTTAACCACACAATTTAAATATTCCAAAGAATTAATATCATCATATGTAGGATTGAATTTTGATTTATCAGGAAAAGCTTTTACCAGCTCTTCACGCAATGAGTCTTGCTCATGTGGGTGTTGTGCAAGTGAATACAAAGCCCAGCAAGTTGATATACCTACTGTTTCATGCCCTGCAAATAAAAATGTCATGATCTAAATAAAAAAAGAAAAGAGAAAAGTAAATGAATATAAAATAAACAAACCAATAAATGAGTAATAACAAATTTTTTCTAATTACCTGATACTTTAATTCTTCATCAGACATTTTTTCTTCAGCAGGTAATTTATTATTGATATTGATTAACAAGGATAATAAATCCCTTCCTTTTAATTCTTCGTTTTTAGCCTCGTTATATCTTTCTTCAACCAACCTCTTTGATACACGGCTAGAAACTTCGCACGCATTTTTAAATCTTTTATTTGGTTCTAGTGGAATCTCTCTAACCAATGGAATATAATTCGATATGATATTAAGAGCAATACGTAAAGGAGTTACTGGGCTATTAAAAATAGAATCATAAGCTACTGCTAATTCATTTGGGGACGTCAATGAATTAAATTCATAATTAAATCCTAAAATAACATTTATAAACGTAAATTTTATTATTGTAAAACGTGTTAAATGTTAAAAATGTCAATATTGAAAGAAAATTTTTTTTCTCACCTACTAAACCAATAACATCCAAAGTGGCTTTCGAGATGTAAGGTGTAAGGTTAATATTAGTTTCTCCTGAATTTATCTTATCTTCTATCAAATCTTTTAAGGTAGAAGCTACACGAACACATGATGGCACCATTTCCTAAATTTAAAATAAATATATATTAACTTAATTTATAAATTAAAATTTCCATTATGAAGTATAATTACTTTGATGTTACTATACGTAAAAGCTGGATTCGACATTTTTCTCTGTCTCTTATGATCTTCACCTTCCGCAAGTATAAGACCTCTACCGATAAGTGAAATAATTGCCACACTAGGAGGCTTAATAAAATCATATGCCTTATTCAATAAAATTTCTTGAATTAATTTTGCATCTGCGATATAAAGTTTCGGTTTATTAAATAATCCATGAAATGTTATAACTTTTCCATGTTCTTCAACCCATCCAAGTTGTGGTACACCAGACTATATAAAATATATTTAAAGTAAGAATTAAGACTGTGAATTACTAATATTAACAATATTTCTACCTCTTCTTTCATAAGTGTTTTAAGATTTCCGTAAATTAGACTATCAGATGGTGGACCAGGAATTTTTCTTAAGGGAGAAATAAAATATGGCCAAATAAATAATTTATAAGTAATACATCCCATAACTATAAAATAGAAACCTAAAAAAATATTAATCGAATCAAGCATTTTTTTTTAGTTTTAATAAATTTTAACAAAACAATAGGTGGAAAGAGAGATTTTATAATTTGGGAGAAGAAAAGTGTATATAAATAATTGATCAAAATGATCGACGAAATACAAGAATTTTCGGAATCGAATGTTCCACCTAACGTTGTGACACAGCTTATAACTGTTCTTTATTTGTTTAAAATGAATTATAAATTGTTTATTTGATATAAGAATTAGTAATTCATATTTAATTATTATCATTTTGCCGAAACCTAGTTCCAAATTTGTTGTAATAGCGATAATTTTATTATAGTCGCGCGCCGTTTAATTGAGCCGTAAATACAAAATATCATCTCCTTTTCCGAAATAAAAAGACTGTTACGATGGTTATTTTTTATTTGGATGGAATGACGAATATTTACGGCATAATTTTTTATGAAAATTTCATGTGGCGATTTTTCTATAGGCTTTGTTGCCTATCGTAATATATAAATCACTGTTTCAGCTGAGGAATATCTGGTAATTTCCAAAACATTTATACATTCTAATGAAATTTAACTGAACAAATACGTCGATCAATGTTATCTATTGATAGCAGCAAAAAGATTTGTAATACGTATGTAAATTTGCTTACACTATGATAATTTCGTCAGAATTATGGTCAAAGGTCGTCATCACATGTTATTATACAGGAAACTTGTTTGGAAACGAGCTGGTTTAAACCCGAAATTTTACTATTAGGAAAGCCTATACAATGTTTATTACAGTATTTATGAGCGCAATCAATGAAGGTCTATAGGATTCTATCCTGTTATGATTATACATGACCAATTATCAAATTTTTAAAAAGGCCCTCAATAATAAAAAAATATGCATACCAAACTTTCACAACTGCATTTTTAATATTTGTATATAGAATTTATAGTAGCGATGACATTTTCTTTTTATAAATCAATCTCTAAATTTTATTTTTGTTTTTTCCTTTTCATTTCATTCTTTTTTCTCTGTTTTTCTTATTTCTATATAATTTCTATATTCTTATTCTATATTTACTGGTTTCATTAATAATAAACGTCGATATAAATTTTCATTCTAAAATCATACTCTTTGTTGCGATATATTAAAAGAAGTGATTGAAACAGTAAAGAGAAGAGAATTTTGTAAATAGAAATTCACCAAATATGACTTAAATAATTTTACTAGAACTATTTATATTTAGTCTTGCGTGAAATATCATTAGAAGGCTTTTCTGTTGTGATTTATGAGAAATGGCACTTTAAGGACATCTAAAACAAAGAGAAACAAAGGAAAATATTGAATCATTATCAAAATCGTTAGATATGGATCAGGTTTGTGTATAGGATAATCTAATGTGAAATCCTTCGATTAGTCGAAAACAAATTTCTAATTATTTTGTATTTGTTAATATTTTAAGTATAGATTTTTTTTTATTGTAACACGTTTTTTTAATCAAATTCAAACAAAAAAAACCCTTGTAACTGGCAGTTTTTGAAAAATGAGGTTTTTATTATAAATATTATAGAAAAGGGTTTTACATATCAAGGTAAAAACTTCACAACGCAAAATACTAACATCAATATTACTTATTTAATCGGGTATTCAATCATTAGCTGATTCCTAAATAGTTTCAGGCAAATCTTTTATTAAACTCTTTAAATTCGATTTACCGATATATATATTTTATTTTTTATTCTTGACTACCAAAATAAGGTTTAACTCCAAGAGACTCCAACACGGCGTTAATGCTATGATTTCCCCACCATACACAGCCTGAATCCCCTTTCTGCATAAACATTCTACACAAACCCACACTCCTAACCCATACTCTCAACTCACATACTGTACCTAAAGGAAGACGCAAAGAAAGGGACCTAAGAGAAGGCCTAATAAAGAGAAGATCTTGACAGAGAGAAGATAAACCTAAAAAAAAGATGATGAAAAAAAAGAAGTTAAACACCACCAGATAATAAATATAAAGTATAAACATCAAAAAAAAAAATTCACATTTTTAATATTTAATACGCACTCTTTTTCAAAAACTCCTTTAAGAAAATTTTTCATTCTACCAGTGAATAGCAGTGATTGTAAATCTCTGCATTTACCTATTTGAGAAAGAAAAAATTATTAATAGTGTGCTAAATTTTTATTTAATGATAAAGAAGACATAGCCAATTCCTTTTCCAGAATTAGCAGACTTTATCAATAGTAAAGAAGACAGCTAATTCCTCCTTTTAAAATTAGCAGACTTTACTAATAACAAAGTAGGATTTTATCTGCTTGAGTTGGTTATCAAATGAACAAGAGAAATAAAAAAAAAAGAAGAAAAAAAAAGAAGAAAAAAAGGGAATAAAAAAATAAAAATAAAAATAAAAGAAAAAAGAAAAAAGCAGGTAATTTCAAGGAATTACCCACTTTGCTCACCCTTACCCAACCCAAACAAACAAATCCAGTACCCTCCTAAGTAAAATTTGTGAACTCCCCGACTCAATGAGTTATCCGTTCTAATTTTGAC